GCTAAAGCAAAGAGAAGAAATGATTATGTAAAAGAACTGAACAGACAATATTAAAGGGCAGCTCAAGAAGACAAAGTAAAGTATTATAATAAAATGTGCAAAGACCTGGAATTAGAAAACCAAAAGGTAAGAATATGCTTGGCATTTCTCAAGCTGAAAGTACTGAAGAAAAAATCCAAGCCTCAAGTTGCAATACTGAAGTACTCTATGGGAAAAGTATTGAATGACGCAGGAAGCATACATCATAGGAGTTACTTTTTTTTTACACTGCAAGTGGTTATTGTTTCAGAAAAAAATAATCTGCCCACGTTAACATTAATTTGAATTGTTGATTTTGTAGCTGTTTACAATTTGTAGACTTTAGAGGTATATAAAAAGGTTTATGACAAGAACTTGAGCCTACTTTGTGTACATATTTAAGTAAGATTATAATATAGTTTAATTTACATTTATTTCTAAATAAATTATTCAAATTTGAGACCCACTAATATAAGGACACCATTAGCATTATTATTAAACTTAATAGCCACAAGTTGGAAGAAGAGATAAGTAGATTTTTTTCAAAGAAAACTTGAAAAAAGAAGAGAGGAAAGAAAAAACAAAAATTAAAGCCAAGGGTCAGGAGTGAATTGATTCTCCCTCAGTGAAATGCTTTCAAAGCAGAAGGTCAAGAAGAACAGGAGACAGTACTTTCTGGGTGTAAACCTGTTGAAGGGTAGAGAAGAGCAACTGACAGAGCGCGGCTACCTGGGATGCAGGGATGAGTGGGGCAGGGCAAAACGACTACAGAGCATGGTGACATCACGTGTGCATTTAACTTACTTGACTTCAATTATACATGCTCAGCCAAAGTAAGCAAGTAGTGCAGATGGTCAGCCTGACATTCCAATAAATGAGTATATTCCCCAGCATGGGGTGGACTATAAGAATCTCCACAGTCTCTGCTCCCACTGTGTGAGCGTCATAATTCTAGTGTTTAAAAAAATAAGCACTTCTCATACAAAACTGTCCCTAAACATAAGCCAACTAAAGTGTTCAGTGGTTGTTGTTTTTGTGTGCCGCTGAGTCGATTCTGACTCCGACTCATGGTAACCCTACAGGACAGAGCAGAACTGCCCCATAGGGTTTCCCAGGCTGTCACCTTTACAGGAGCAGATTGCCAGGTCTTTTCTCCTGCAGAGCTGCTGTTGGGTTTGAACAGCAGACCTCTGGGTTAGTAGTTAAGTGCTCAAACATTTCGCCACCAGGGCTCCATTAGTGCTCAATAAACCAAAACCAAACCTGCTGCCATGGAGTCAATTCTCACTCATAGCGACCCTATAGGACAGACAGTCTAGGCCTACCTAAGATGCTACTGCACAAGAAGAATTTCTGCTCCCAGGCAATACTAATGATTATGTTTAAAAAAACAATAGCAATAATTAGGGCTTACTGAGCACCTGGAGCCCTGGTGGTGCAGTGGTGAACAACTCGGCAGCTAACCAAAGGGTCAGCAGTTCAAATTCACTAGCCGCTCCTTGGAAATCCTATGGGGCAGTTCTACTCTGTCCTACGGGGTCACTATGAGTCGGAATTGATGGCAACGGGTTTGTTTTTTTTTTTTTTTTTTGGATTGAGCACCTGCTAAGTGCTGGTAACAGTGTTAAGCATTTTAGACACTTAAACTCACTCAGTGAATAATGATTAAGAGAATGATAAGGACAGTAGAGTGCCTAGCACAATGTCACCTTAGTCACTTATCTCTCTACTTCAGTTTTCACATCTATAAAATAATTCCTCTACTTTAGGATTTTTAAAAGGATTAAACAAGATCATACCTAAATCTTGGGGACATGCTCTAGTTAATGCCTCTAATCTTAAAAACAATAAGAAAAAAATATCTTCCCTTAATCTCACACTCCTCTCCACCGCGCCATTCATTCATTTCTCAGGTCTCCTTCAGAGCCAAAATTCTCAAAACAAAAACTTGTCATCCTATCCTGATTCCACTTCTTCACTTGACATTTATTCTTCAAACAACTCCATTCTTGTTTTGGCCGTTAAAGGTTCACTAAAACCATTTCTAATGTATTGCCACTGACCTTTATATCTTGTGAAAAACCAATGGACCTGTAAGCAGCATGGAACATTGCTCACTGTTTTGTCCTTCTTGAGACACTCTCCTATCATGGCTTTCCTGACACTATCTCCTTGCAGTCCTCTTCCCCACTGATGGCTACTTCATCTTCTTTGTAAGCTCCTATTCTTTTATTTGACTTCTAAATACTGGTGCTAGGTCCTAGGCCTTTTCTTCTTCCCCTTTATAATCTCATTTATCCCCACGGCTTTAAACACCATTTATGTTCTGACCAACCCCACATTCATATTTGTAGCTCAATCTTGAGCTCCAGACTTGCATATACAACTGCATACTTGGCATGACCATTTGAATGTCCCTCGTATACCTCAAACTAAATATCCAAAACAGAACTCAATTTCTCTCAAACCTGTCCCTATCCCTCAATTTTCTACCTACGTAACCAATACTACCATATACCCGGTTGTTTGAGTCAGAAACCCTGGCGTCATCCTTGATTTCTCCCTTTCTGTCTGTGCCTTTCTTCTCCACTCCAATCCACTGTCAAGTCCTAGTTGTTCACTTCCCAGGATGCTTACACTTCAGTTTTCTGTCTCCACTTGGGCTATCCTGATGCAGGCCATCTTAGTAGCCAAGGCATCCTCTATTTCTTAACTTTCTAACTTCCCTACACTTCCACTTAATTTTCTATAACTGGTACAGTGATCTTCAGAAATTGTATAAAAACATTGCCCTTCCTCTGTTAATTTCTCAGATTTTTTTTAGTTTCTTCCATAGCATTTTATGCAATTTTATTTTGTTTTTGATGGTTGTGTCTGTCTCCACCACTAAATTTCATAAAGGTGGATGCCATGTTTCTATCTCTAACAATATAGTACAAGGCCCGATTCATCACTGAAACTCAAACATTCATTAATTAATTCAAGTATTAGACACTTGGGGAGCAGGAGGGGAAGAGAAAATAAGTAAAATATATACTTTGTTATATGGTGGTGAGTGCTTTCAAGATAAAGTTTTAGAGAAGGGGATATGAAGTGTTGAGGAGAAGTTTGCAATTTTAAATAGGGTAGTCAGGTGACATTTGAGTAAAGACCAGAAGGAGGTAAAGGAATGAGAATATTATCTGGGGCAAGTGCATTCTATCAAGAGGAAACATTTATTGCAAAGGTCCTGATGAAGGAGCATGCCTGGTACACTTGAGCAAACCAGTGTAGTAAAAGCCCAGGAACTGAGGAAAGTCAGAGCGGGAGGGGGTGGGGGTGGTATCAGATCATGTTGGGCCTCATTAGGCATACAAGAATACAGGCTTTTACTCTGGGACTAGGACTGACTGGAAAGCTTTAAGAAAAGGACAGACAAAATGTGACATGTTTTAATTGGATCATTTTGGCTGCTGTGCTGAGAAAAGTCCAGGCAAGACATTTTGTTAGCAGTGGAGATGATGAGAGGTGGTCAGATTAATGGCTAGATTCTAGATATATTTTGAAAGTTGAGTCTACCCGATTTGCTAACAGCTTAAATGTGAGGTGTGAGAGAAAGACAGCAGTAAAGATGACTCCAAGGAGTCAAAGACTGCTTATTTTGTCACACAGATCTCTCAGCTTAAAAGGTATAGCTCATTACATATGCTGCCAAATAATATTAAGATGCTCCTGGTTCAAAGTATTGTTTTTGCCAGTATGCTGGGATACAGAAAAAGTAAAATCAGGATTTAACCTAGTCTTTCTATTATAAATGTTGAAGAAAGTGTTCCCTGGAAAAGAATACTTTGGGGGAAAAAAAAAAGACACCACCTTTCATGCTAAACAAATGTAGTTTCAAACTTGTTTTAGTGGACTGCTGATTAAAGTTTTCCTTAAAAGCTAGTGGCATTTAAACTAGAATTGAAACCAACAACTGAGAGAAGTCTTAAAATAGGTATATATATATATAGCATTAACTTCAAAAGTAGTTCCTACACCAGATTCCAAAGAAATATCTGAAAAAAATGGGAAAACCATATTTGCATAAATATATTTACAGTTGAATTTTGGCAGACAAATAATGGGGAAAAAATATCTAACAAATAAGAAATGTCTAATGGAGTAGGATATTACATTATCATTAAAAATAACTGTATGGACTATGCCAGTATGAGAAAGTCAACAAAAAGTGTACAGAACACAATTATATATGAAATACATTTTAAGTAGGTAAAAATCATTTCCACAATATAAATGGACCTAAAAGTGTCATGGAGTTGTAAATATGTCTTGTATATAGGTACTGAGAAGTGAAAGTACCTTCTGGTTTTTATTAACTCTGAATTTAAACTTTATTATACAACTTTTTTTAAGTATACACCTTAGTATTGACCTTAGGGACTTTCAGACTGCTTGTGGTACCTTACTGATGTCATAATAAGAATATGACATCAAAAAATATACAGGAAACTTTTTGCAAAACCTTTGTTGATTAAGAGCTAATTTCAAAAGTAAAAACAAAGTAAAACAAACTAGAACCCTTTAATTCATAAGCTCGTTAAAAGCTGATAAAATTCAGTACACGGTTTTCAAGGTGGTTTATGTGATCTAGTTGAGGTGAACTCACTATCAGAAGAGATCAGATTTCACGAATAAAATTACCTTTCAGGAAATTGAGAAATACTTGAAAAAACAGTGCTCTTCTTAAGTAACCACCTTAATATACCCTATTTTCTCAAACCAGCTCCACCTCCACCTACCTGTAGCATACTTCTAAAATCGTGAACATGAAACCAGACAGGTTTATCCCCTCAGACTGGGCTCTCACTGACAAGAGATGTTGATCAGGATACCAAGTCTGGGGGAGGGTAGGAATGGGAAAGGGATATCTCTTTCCCAACCTTAGATGGGCAGATTGGTTGAAGAAAGGGTAGAGGCCGGTGGTGCAGGGACCCTCTTACCTCCAGTTTCTGTAATTCCCACACGCACAGGGGAACCGCAACAACTATGGACACCAGGTAGATAACCACCGCTAAAGGTCGAATCCACTGCCTCCAGTTCCTCCAGGTACAAGTGCAAGGCATGTTTTCGCATAAATCCGTAAGAAAAAAGAGCGCGACGGAGATTGTACTAGAGAGCCCTGCGCTACGGAGAAAGAGCTGTTGGGCGACTCTACCAGCGGCTCAAGCTGCCTCCTCGGTGCGCGCTGAGCTTTCTGCTTCTGCTGCTGCCGCAACTGCGGCCAGTCAGGGTGCTACCAGGGAGCTGTGCGGACATCTTTTCTTCCCCACTCTGCATCGACCCGGTTCCTCTGTGGTGGAACTCCCGGGCGGAGCTGCTGTCCTCACCTGAGGATCGCCCTGAGCTCTGCCTGAACCATACCTTGGAGGAGTGAGGCGCCGACCAGGATCGGCCTCTAGGGACCCTCCACACAGTCCAGTTCTGCCCCACAGCTGACTGTCCGCTCGCTTTCTTTGAGGGTTGAGCTTCCTCCCTCCCGCGCTCGCAAGTGTTTCTTCGCCCAATTATGCTGATAGATAAGAGGCAAGGCCTCAAACCCACAGACCCCAGTATTCCCTCATTCGCTCCTACGGGACATCCCACACCGCGGAACACAAGGCCAAAGCAAGGTTTCGAGTCTTTTCCGCTGTCGCCCCTGCTGTCTGAGGGATGTGATTCGTTGTCAGCGCCAAGCAGGACCCGCCCCATCCGGCTTACTTCTCATTCTCTGATTGGTCATTGGCGGGGGCGGGGCTGTGAAGTTGGGCGTGAAGGGTAGAAAGAAGGAAAAAGTGGGTCGAGGTTGTAGGCGGTAGTGCTAGGCTGTCCCAGTGGCCCTTGAAAATGGTTCTGAAGGCGGCAAGAATTGTTTAAGACTTGAGGAACACCTACTACGTTCTTCTTCTGCTGACTTTATTTCAGTTTAAAGAAAGCCTAGTTAGGGGGCAGTTACTTTAGAGTTGAACTGAAAGAGAGAAAGCCGTTTTCTGTACAAAAGTTCTCCGATTCTCTTTGAGAATGAATATGGGAACCGGCTGGAATAAGAAGGCAAAGAATGGGAGACGCCGCCTAGTTTTCTCTTAATTGCTAGAATTTAGGGGTAGGCTGCTTGGTCATTTTGAATCATAAAGATAGAATTAATTTAGATAATTTAGTTTTAGAAGCAGCTGCAGATACCCAGTGTCCTGTCGCATTTAGAACTTGTGTTTAAAACTCGTACACATTTAAATTTCAAAAGATCGACAAAGAATGGGAACAGATAACTGAAACCATATCTTTTGTCTAGCTATATATTTATATATACTCTACCTAATTTGAAAGAGGCTTCTCTGTTATGGTGATTTTTTTTGCCTAGAGCTTAATATTATTCTAGATAAGGTGCCTCCGTTTTTTTGTTTGTTTTAAGGAATATGTTGGCCGAGAGTCTGAGATTGTGCTAACCAGTCAAAAGATTAAGTCAATTTTAATTTTAAAGGTTGCAAGAATACAGGGGGAAGATCTGAGCAGGTAGAGTATGCTTAATTTTGTAATGTTTCATTTTCTCTTCTCCCCTGTGTGACTCTAATACTCATCAGCATGTTTTCTCCTTTCAAAATTGGTGACCGAGAGCTTGATGTAACACCATGATGAACTTAAAAGTTTCTTTTCTTTTTTCTTTGCCTTCTCCTTTTCACATAACCTTTGTTAATGACTTTGTTTTGCTCTGTCCGGCCACCTGTGGCTTACAATCCACCCCCCCCCCCAGGAAGATTAGAGCCCAGAAGTCAGATACGTATATCTTTAGCCTGATAAGGAGATGTCTGGCATGTATGATAAAGAGTCTCTTGTAATTGCCTTGTAATAAATAACGACACTTCTAACCTTTGTAAAAATCATATATAAGCCCTAATGTGAAAATGCCTTTTGGGACTCCATAGAGATAGCCTGCGTTGCTGTCAGATCCCTGGTGGTGGACGCCTCCTAAATAAAACTTTCTCATTCTTTCTGACTTGGAGTGTATTTCATTGGCTTGACTGCTCCAGGGCATGTACCCTATTTGGGTGACACCCAAAATGGGAGGGAAGATGGTCTACTGTCCACCAAATGTTGTTGTTGTATGTCGTCAGTTCATTCCAACTCATAGAACCCCATGTGACAGAGTAGAACTGCTCCATAGGGTTTCCTAGGGTGTAACCTTTACAGGAGCAGATCGCCAGGTTTTTTCTCTCGTGGAGCCACTGGTGGGTTTGAATCTGCTGACCTTTCGGATAGCATCCCAGCACTTAACCACTGTGCCATCAAAGCTCCTTATCCACCAAGTGAGTGGGGAATAAAATAAAAATGGTACAGGTGTGTTATGGATTGAATTGTGTCCCTCAAAAACACATGTCAACTTGGCTAGGCTATGATTCCCAGTATTGTGTGGTTTGTCCTCCATTTTGTGATCTGATGTAATTATCCTATGTGTTGTGAATCCTAACCTCTGTGATGTTGATGAGGCAGGATTATAGGAAATTGTATTAATGAGACAAGACTCAATCTATAGGATTAGGTTGTATGTTGAGTCAATCTCTTTTGAGATATAAAAGAGAGAAGCAAGCAGAGAGGAGATGGACCTCATTACCACCAAGCAAGAAAAGCCAGGAGCGCGTGTCCTTTAGACTCAGGGTCCCTGCACTAAGAAGCTCCTAGACCAGGGGAAGATTGATGACAAGGAACTTCCTCCAGAGCCAACACAGACAGAACGCCTTTCCCTAGAGCTGGCACCCTGAATTTGGACTTCTAGCCTCCTAAACCGTGAGACAATAAATTTCTGTTTGATAAAGGCATCCACTTGTGGTATTTCTGTTATAGTAGCACTAGATAACTAAGACAAGGTGTCATAACAAACTTTCAAATCTGACTCTTGAAGCTGAGCATTTGCTCACTTTTTTAAATTTCAGCTTTACCCACCACACCTTTCAGGCTACATTTTAAGCTTCATTGAGGACATCATGCCTTATTCATCACTACCTTCCCTCCCCTCCTCACCTCTATAACAGATAAAACTATAGAAACTTGATGTGCATCACCATATCTCTATTTGTCTGCATGTTTTGTATTTATATGTATTCTACCTTATCTTAAAGGGACTTCTCTCAAGTTTTTTTTGGTAGATAAATACTACAGACATATTTGTAAGTTTTAGTAAATTTAGGTTAAATATAAATGTCTGTTTACCATGTTAAAATAAAAATGAATTACATTGACTTGGAAATTTTTTAAATATTTCATGTCATTTGTTTAGTGGATCTTACGATTCAAAGCAGGGGTTGGGAAACTATAGCCTGCAGTCTGTTTTTGTATGGCCCATGAGCTAAGAATGGTTTGTAAAAACTATCAAAAAAATATTTACTTCCTGGACCTTTATAGAAAAAGTTTGATTTAGTGTAAGTTTTAAAACTTTTATAATGGGCTGTTACTGAAGATGCTGAATTAATCTTACCATAAAATTAATTCATTTCTTCCCTAGGAGGTAGGAAAGTGATATTTAAATTTTAGAATTTCGCACACTACATGTCCTGTTATTTGGCCCTAAAACCAGCATTGCAAAATCAGTTTTGTTTCTTTTTGTTAAGTAAGAGTGATATTCAGTGATTTTAAAGTGAATTTTGCTGACTTTATAGGGATCCTGTAGTACATTCAGAGCAATAGACACCAGAGTTAACTTTAGAGCCAGGATGGAGTGAAGGAAAAGACCCTACCATGTATAATTAGGTATATGGAAACTGGAGGCACTGTCCTTTCCACTTTTAATCTGCTTTTCTGAAAATACTCTGTGCAGGCTATGTCCTTTGAACCCTAGCATGTCCCTAGAGCAGAGCTTCCCAAACTTTCTTGTTTCACAGCACCCTTAGTAACTCAGTAATTTTTTCATGGCTTTCCTGGGCCAAAGAAATATCTAATAGCTCCATTTATTAAGTAATTAGATTCCAAGAACTTAATTATAGGAGTTCATGGTGGTGTCTGACAGACCTTGCTCAAAATATTCAATACCCCAAGGTGCTTCTGTGAGTTCACTGCAGTGCCTCCGTGGCTCCTCAGCTCACAGTTTGGGAATTGCAGTGCTAGGGTTTCTTTTACCCTGTGTATCTGACTTGGGCTTGCTTCTCCTTTCATCCCAGGTCCTATTCCCCACATTTTCAGGGCTTAGCTAACAGTAATTCCTGGCGGCGTTCTTTGCTTATGGTTTTAATTTTTACATTGTTGATTCAGATTTATTCCTTCAGTATACTTTCATATTGGGTTTTTATATTAAGGCTCTTTGTTTAAACTATTGAAATAAATATTTAAATGGCTAGGATGTTTGGCCTCATCTTCAAAGGCCTGTGACTAGAATTACTGGGTTAATGACTGTGAGATTCTAGTTTCCACACGAGAAAAGTGATAAAATATCTTAAGCCACCTGATAATACTTAGTAGTGTAGGTTGTCCTTTGTCACCGAAGAGAAGAGGATACTGTGAATGGTGCAAACAACTTGCATAGTAAATAATAAATTACCTTTTCTATAATTTATAACTCTCTAGATGAGCTTTACGGTAGTTCTATCTGGTGGGAAAGTTTTTTTTTCACCTTGTTTAAGTGGAAGTTTTATTTTCAGACTGATTTAAATGACACTTCTGTGATATCAAGTTACAGGCTAAAAGGAATGAAAAATCTAAATAACTGAATAATCGATTCAAAACTAGATAATTCAGAAAATTTGGGAGAGAAGGTATTTCTGGTCAGGAAGAAGTTTCTGTGCATTATAAAAAAATGTGAGAAAAGAAAAACACTTTTATTCTGGGACAAATTATTTTATGATTTAGATAAAACTTAATATGCCATTTATCTGTACATTACATGCTAGACTATGGTGATCGCCATAAAGGGAAGGCTTTAATTTACATGAAATAAGGCTGCTTACCAAAAGGTTGGAGGTTCATGCTCACCCAGAGGCTCCTTGGAGGAAGGGCCTGGAGATCTACTTCCAAAAAATCCACCATTGAAAACGCTATGGAGCACAACTCTACTCAGACACACATGGGGTCGCCATGAGTCAAAGTCAACATGATGGCAGCTGGTTAACTGGTAAGGAGAATTCATGGGAGAATTTTTGTCCTGTGTCCTAAGAGGAATAATTCTTCAAATGTAAGGAGTGGTGTCTATGGAACTTCAGTTTTGCTTTCTAATTATCTCATATATTTCAGGCTGTTGACTGCCCTGTGTAAACTCATGAGCAAATGACCTATATGATTTTACGTCGGTAGGATATGAGGGAGAGGAGGAGGGATTCCTATCTCACACAGAAGAGTGAGTATCTGTGCAGAAGATAAATGAAGTTCAGCAGGGAAAATATAACTGGTGCTATTTATGTAACATCTTTACTATGTAGAGGTAGAATTGGACGTTTTTGCTCCTATAGTGTAAATCTTATGATTTGCGGTTTCCAATTTTCTTACTTGGGAAAGGAGATAAAAACAGGAGAACATCTCTCTGTTTTTTCCCTTTTGCTTGACACTTTCCTTAGAACCACCTGTAGATCAGGATATCAGAATCAGGAAATTGTCCCAGGAACAAGCTTTTTCAACTCCCCCCACCCTGTTCTCAGGGACCCTGACATTTAATCAGTGTCCCCAAGGAGGAAGACTTAAGGGGAAA